GCAGGATGCTGTGGAAGGAACCTTGCTTCCCCAGGGACCCGACCTTGGTTCCTGCTCTTCTCAAGCCTCGTACCTTCCTGGGAGGCCCCAGCTGGAACCATGGCTTCAGTGTCCCTGGTTGTCTACATTGACAACTTCCAAATCTCCCTTCCCAACACACAGCTCTCTCTTGGCCTCTGGGCCCATACATTCAGTGCCCGCCAACAGCTCTAGATACGTGTTTCTCAGATACTTCGAGCTCCATGGACTCCTCAGCTGAACTCATTCTCTCCTCCCCACCCTAAACTCTGGACCTTTCTGCCCTTTTCTTGAGCAAGTGACAGGACCAGTCACCTCTTTGCCCAAGTCAAGACCCTAGACATCATCCTCAACTCCTCCCTTGTATTGCAAGCCCTATATACAACCAGCTCAAAGCCCTGTGCTGTTTTCTGCCTTAATATTTCTCCCATCTTGCCCCTTCTGCATATGCCCACTACCACCGCCTGGGTCCATGCTGTCGTTACGTCTCACCTGGATTACACAAAAGCATCCTCACTTGCTGCTTCCTGAGTGGCACCTCCAGCCATCCCTTATCTTGCGGTCAGGGTGACCTCAGTACAATTGAAAGCTGCTCCTTTAAGAGCTCTATGCAGTTTCAGGGGACGTCCAAATTCCTGAACTTAGTACATATAGTAGAACTTGATAATCTACCCAGCCACCTACCCAGTTCATCTGTCTCCCCTGCCACATGCAAATACTTCTGCCCATTCTGTTACCTTTGCCTGGGACACCCTTCCCACTTGCTTTAAAAAAATTTTTTTTTTAATGATGGTAAAAAATTATATAACCTGCCTGGCCGGTGTGGCTCAGTGGTTGAACCAGGAAGTCATGGTTCGATTCCGGGTCAGGGCACATGTCTGGGTTGTGGGTTCGATCCCCAGTAGGGGGCGTGCGGGAAGCAGCCAATCAATGATTCCCTCTCATCACTGATGTTTCTATCTCTCTCTCCCTCCCCCTTCCTCTCTGAAATCAATAAAACAAACCAACCAACCAACCAATAAATCCTAACAGTTACCATTGTAACCTGGTTTTCTTTGTCTAGCTCATTTCTACTTATCCTTAAATTCAGCTCTGTGCAACCTCTTCTAAACCTTTTCTGAGTCCTCAGCCTGGGTTAGCTGCCCTTCCTCTGTGCTCCCAGTATCTTAGCTCTTATCACATAGTCCTCTGTGTTAGCTAATGTCTCTTTTTACAGGCTCCCCAAGACGGTGTCTGTCTTATTTAACTCTGCATCCCCAGAGCTGCAGTGTGCAGTTGTGCAGGTCCTGCATTGCATGAGGCGGTCTGGTTGAGGAAGTAAAGTAGGGGATGAAGACCGCCGGCCAATCGTGTACCCTGGTCCTGGACTGTATCCAGGCCTTTTTCTAATGGGCACAAAGGTTCCATAGGTGACATCAGTGGGACCAATACATCCCCAGTGCTCGTTATAGAGTTGACACGTAGTATTATAGTAGATGCTCATTAAATGGTTGAGCAAAGACAGACGGATATTCTAGGCAGAGGTACCAGGCGAAGACATGGGAGAGAAGCTGGAGTAATAGGATGCTATTGCATGATCAGGATTGGATTAGGGGGTTTAGAGGCAGTTTGTAGAGGGTCCCTTATGTTGGGCCGAGGGGCTAAACTCTTAATTCAATAGGAATCTTTGAAAATTTTTGAGATAATATTGTGATGTAGAATCACAAAATTTCTAGGCTTGAAAATAAATGAGACGCCGAGAAGTTAAGTAATTTGTTCAAGGTCACACAGGAGGACAGTGACTGAACTGGGACTTAAAGTGGTGCCTTTTGTTTTCTAAGATCTACATAGGCTTTATTAAGTGATTCATTCATCAAGCAGCATCCCATCTAGCAACTAGAAGGGTGCTCCTTTGAACTGGCTTTTTTTTTTTTTTAAATATATTTTATTGATTTTTTACAGAGAGGAAGGGAGAGAGATAGTTAGAAACATCGATGAGAGAGAAACATCGATCAGCTGCCTCCTGCACATCTCCTACTGGGGATGTGCCCGCAACCCAGGTACATGCCCTTGACCGGAATCGAACCTGGGACCCTTCAGTCCGCAAGCCGACGCTCTATCCACTGAGCCAAACGGGTTTCGGCAGAACTGGCTTTTCTTGCTCCTAGCTCAGTGCCCATTCTTCCACATGGTCTCTGGGGAGGCCTCTCTGAACTGATGCGGAGCCTGGGAAGTCTCTAAGGCAGATCTTTCCGGCCTTCCCAACATATGTCCCTGGCGAAGGTGGGTAGGGGGATGGTAGCCTGACTGATGGAAGGTGAGACCCCTGTAATCAACACTCAGCCTTTTTCATGGTGCAACCCTGGGTCTGTCTGCAGAATATCTACCTACTTCAACTTAGGTAAATTGACCATTAGCTTTCTGTCCTTTACACAGGCAAGGGCTCTAGGTTTTGGAGCCTTTTTCTTATAAGAGCCATTTCCCTCCTTGTACTTCTTTTGGTTGCTTTTCTTTGGGCCCTAGCTAGTTTTTACCAATTCTTTCAAAAGCACCTTCTGCCTCTAGTGGAAGGGGCCTTGCCCACAGCAGGTCTTACTAAGTACGTGTTAAGTCGGTGGAATCAAATGTGGAGACGGATCTAATCCCAGGGGTTTTCCCAAAGCTTGGTCTCCTGGAAGGATTTCTGGTGCCGAGTCTCACCTCCCTGGGACCACGTTTACCATTTATCATTTTTTTGTGTTCATTTTATGATCTTCTGTGACCCCAGAGTCTCCTCTGGGCTTATTTCCCCTGAGCCCCCTGCCTCGCTTCCCTCTTTTGGGTTCTCTGTAGCTCACTTCTGGGCTCCGAATTAAATGATGTTATCCTTTTCCATTTTCAAATTCAGTCTGAGTCAGAGCCATTCTCTACTTTTTCAGAGATATTTGAGTTCTGGACCTTTATTCCGCTTATAGGAGCGCTGTCCTTTATCACACGTGATACCAATGATGATGATAACGTTATCATCAAATATTTAGCAAATGTGTACTCTGCTCCAGACAATGCACTTGCTGCTTTTATAAGAGGCAGTTCACTTAACCCTCACAACAATCCTATGGGATAGAGCTATTCCTAGCCCATTTTACAGATGAGTAAAACTGAGGTCCACCAAGATCAAGTAACTTGCCCAAAGTCACCCAGCTGAGATTTGTACACAGGCAGCAATTCTGGAGTTTGTGCTTACATCAGGACACCTGATGTTGCCTCAACAAACAATCTTCAGGTGCTTTCTGAGGTCACTAAGAGGGAGACTAAGAGGGAGACTCACTCCCTGAGGCCCAGAGACACCACCACTGTCACTTTCAGGCTGGGTCTTCCCTAACCAGCTACATCCTCCTTTAGCAGCGGCTCTTAACCTGTGGGTCGCGACCCCTTTGGCGGTCGGTTGAACGACCCTTTCATAGGGGTCGCCCAAGACCATCCTGCATATCAGATTCATTACGATTCATCACAGTAGCAACATTACAGTTATGACGTAGCAACGAAAATAATTTTATGGTTGGGTCACAACATGAGGAACTGCATTTAAAGGGCCAGAAGGTTGAGAACCACTGTCCTATAGGCTTGACCTCAGATCCTAGCAATCAGAAGAGAGCAAAGCTTGTCCACGAGGCCCACCGGCAGGACAGGTAACTCCCCTCCTTGACAGCTGTGGCTAAACACTACCACAAGGCTCTACTTGATCTAGCATAATTAGCTCTTTACAAAGTCATCATAATCCCCAGCATGCAACGACAAACCAATTGGCGGATGATTTTAGACCACAGCTTTCCTAGGTATGAACTTAAGTGTAATTAACTATCACTAATTAACAGAACACTTTTTCTCTTTAAATATATAAATCAGACAGACTCCACAATTAGCCCTTGTCTGTCTTCATGAGGCTCTGTAACAAGCCAGTCCTTAAGAGTTCCAATTAGGGTCCCTCAGCATTTGAAGATACAGGCATACCTTGTTTTATTGTGCTTCACTTTCCTGTACTTCACAGATGTTGCATTAAAAAAATAGTTTTATTGATTTTAGAGAGAGAGAGAAGGGGGAGGGAGAGAGAGAGAGAGAAATATCGATGTGAGAAACAACAATCAGTTGCCTCCTGCAAGAACCCTGACCAGGGATTGAACCCGCAACCTGGGCTTATGCCCTGACCGGGAATTGAACTGGCAACTTTTGCGTGCACGGGATGACTCTCAACCAACTGAGTCACACTGGCCAGGGCAGATATTGTAATTTTTTTTTACAAATTGAAGACACGATCCTCTACCAGCAAAAATATTATAACCCACTTTGCTGCGATACTCGCTTTATTGCGGTGGCCTGCAACCAGCATTATCTCAGAGGTATGCCTGTACTCATCTGCTTCCTGTCCTCGTTTTCACTTTGGTTTCCTATCTGTCCTTTCCACAGGTAACTTTTATGACTTTCTGATAAAGGCTGAGATAAAACAATGAATTAAAAGTCTCTGATTTTCCAGTCACCTGCAAGCAGCTCTGTCCCACCCCATCACAGGGGTGACATTCTCTTTGGATTTGCTCTCTTCCTCCCGTGGTCAGTCCCCATCGCCTGCCTCTGCTGGCAGCTATTCCGAGGAGCAGAACCCAGCTGCTCACAGCAGGGAGGCTCTCTGGGGGTCTGCCTCCCAGAGGAGGGAGGGGCACAGGACCAGGGCTTGCTCCCGGCTGGGCAGACTGGCCGTGCCTTTGATTGCTTACACCAATGCGTCTCTTCACTGGGGCAGAAAATTGAGAGGTGACTGCATCACGGAGGAATATTTCCCGTTACCCTTTCCTTAGACACAACTTGGCTCAGCTCTGAGGCATATGACACTTTAAGGTCCCGTGTTCCCTCCCATGTTTCGGTTTCTCACCCCATCATTTGGGTTTTCTGTCCCTTCCCTCCTTAGACAAGACGCCCAGGAACAAAGCCAGAGGGTAAACACTGTTTCCCGTGGTGACGGGGACACTCACCATGGTTTGTCCCTTGATCCTTTCGCAGAAAAGACTGTGTGCTGTTTGCTGCTGGAGGTAAGTAGATTGTCTTTGGGCGTTTTGAATGGCTTTGAGGTGCTGCTGGCAGAGTTATGGCCGCTGAGACAGGCTTTTGTCTTCACCTGTACTAGTGATGTCCTGGAGTTGGAGGGTGGAGACGCTGGAGAGGGAGAAGGTCTGCACATTGAACCGTGTCTTCTCTCTACAGAGGGAGACAGAATGGAGCTCAGCACACCCGCGGCAGCAGGTGAGTCTCACACACTCATGCCTCGCTCACACAGCAGGCAGACAGGAAGTGCTTATCCCACAACGTCCGCATCTCTGAAGCCTCAGTTCTGACCACGGTCTGTTTTTTGTTTGTTTGTTTTCCTGAATGAGCAGTTGCCTTACTCAATTCCTTTATTATAACTTTTAAAATATTTCCACAAATACCAGTGGAGACTCTGATCAGTAACTTAAAATGAAAATCCACATATTGAAACATATTTCCTTTGCCTACTGACTACGGTTTCTCATGACATCTGCTCCTCTCTCACCAACTAGCCGTGATGGCTTTCTGAATTGCGGTATTAAACGTCACGCTGATAAGCTAAACGAGGATTTTCATGGGAGGCATTTACCAGGCCTTCCTTCTGCAAAACAACTTTGACAGGACTAGCAGAGGGGACACCCCAGGTGTCACCTGAACACAGTGGGATAGCCATATAGCCAACATGACCCCCAGGAAGCTACCCAGAAGCAATAAGGTCCCTCAGAGCAGTGGGCAGGGTAGGACTCTCAAGAGAATAAACAGGGAGTTCTTCAACCCGACTAGCAGCAGGATCACTACGGTCAGAAGGCCCAGCAAGGGCTGAATGAAAGAGTCTTCGAGAACCAGGAGTGGCACAGCTTCTGCCCACATGCCAGCTGTGGCCTCTCCAGGGCGCACTGAGGTCTGGGGTTGCAGCTGCTAAGCCAAGATATGCAGGAGGACATCGACCCATGAGGCAGAATCTACAGATGTGGGGCCTGGACGTGGGAGGGCAGGCACAGCTTCCTGGGGTTCAACAGAAAATACCAGAGCTCTGGGCAGACGTGCCTCACTTGTTCACACCCAGTCAGCCCCGTGGTCTCGATGCAATAGGTAGGGTGAGGACACTTGACCGGGACAGCAGGTGCATGAAGCAAGGTTCTAGTGTCCACCCACAGTGTACTTAGCTGTTACAGGGTAACAACGGATTTGATCAAAGTTAAGGACCCTCTCCCAAGAAAGATGCACATTTATAGATGCCCTGAAACTTTGTACACGATTACAGGAAGGAATCCGGGACCGTCCAAAACACAAAGGCTCTGAAATCCTAAGTCCCGTCTGGCTCTCTTGTGCCTCTCCAGGGCCTCACATCCAGTGAGTGCCTAGTTAATATGCGTTCAAAAAATAAATGAAATGATGACAAATGTCCGGTGGGAAGAACTAGAGATCCATAATCTGGATCGAGGTGGGAGGCAAGGATGCAGACCACCTTCTCCCTCCAGCTCTAAGCTGAGTCTCAGGCTTCTCTCACCAAGGAGACACTGCTGGCTGCGGTTCCAGGCACCTGGCCCAGGAGAAGAAAGCCAGACAACCTTGGCTCTCTGAAATGGGACTCTGGAGTTCCTCTGTGCTCCCGCGTACCAGCGCCTACCAGGCCCTCTCAGAGCGGACCGCCTCTAGTCCTCTGGGACACTGGGAATTGTGGGGGAAAGTGGACGAATGAGGATCCTCTGACTGCTGGGTGTTTTTGCCTGACCAGTGCTCAGACGTTGCCTACACTGAATAACTTCACAGGTAACGTTTCTTCACCAAATCAGAGCAGACTGTGCAGACACGCGGTTTCCAGAGCCAGCCCGTGGAAGGTTTTGGAAACCAAGAGCCAGTTCCAGGATCTCTGTTTTGCTGTAGAAAGAACCCTCGGTTGGGAGCCAGGAGATCTAGGCTCCAGCTCCAGACATGCCACATGAGTAAGCTTATGGCCTGGAGTTCACCACTTCAACTCCCTCAGTTTCCCTGTCTGTATCTGTAAGTGAAGTGGGACCCTAGATGCCTTCTAAGGCCTCTTTCCATGTCATTATCGTAAACACAGGGCATACTTACACCTGCTCCTTCTCTTCTCATCCCTCACGATCCCTGAATGTTACAGCAATAATCACAGCTGAAGTACTGAGATATTTTACCCAGGCAGGCTCTTCCTCGGAGGAATTCATCCTTCGTGAAATTGCACCGGCCTTTACAACCCCTGTGAGACAGGCAGGAGGCAGCCAGCCATCTCACCCTCCTCGCGCCTGACTGGCCAGAGAAGACCCAGAGAGGAGAGGTGACTCGCCAAGGTCAGGGCCAATGGCTACACAAGGAATGGGGCCGAGACACTCCTCAAGGAGGCGGGGAATGGGGTGGGCTGGGACCAAGATTTGGAGCCAGGAGATTGGGAACTCCAGGAATGAGAGTTACGGGAGGTTAAAACCGGGTCTTAAAAGTCTGTTCATCCCACCTCCTTGCTGACTGATGAGGTGATGATTAGAGAGTTTCTCTATTACCTGCTTAGGGCAAAACCAGTCGGAGGGAATGCTGAGCCTAGAACCAAGTCCTCTTCTCACTTAAACCCACAGTTCTTTCTCCCCTTCAGAAATGTTTTGCTTAGCAATTTCTTTTTTGGCAGAGGTTTCCAAAACTAAAATAAGACGTTGCTTTTTAACCACTACTGCTTTGGCTTTTTCTGCAGTCTTCCTTCGCTCATTTGCTATCAACTTGCTGAAGCTGGTTAGAGGGGGTGTGGGGAGACCAGTCTTGATAACAAAGAGAAATTTTATTTAGCTAAACTAACAGTTAAGTAATGTCAGCACCAAAATAATTTTTAATTAAAAATAATAATACAAATAAATCAAGTTAAGTCACAAGGAAGGGGGGTCACTAAGGACAGAATGAATGGGCCAGACCAGTAACTCCAAAATCACGTTCACAGAGGATTCTGGTTAGCAGTTCTGCCGACCTGTTCTGCCACTAAACTCACAAAACACTAAATCAGTGGATGAGCTATCTTCTTGGTTTTGTATTTTAGTTCCGCAAATGACCAGCTGAAAGAACAAGTTACAGATGAGAGAATATTCATCAAAACTTGAAGCTAGTCCTTTACCCTCAATTTGTGTGTGTGTTTGTATTCCAATGAACAGATTAAAAAAAGATATTTTCTACATATAAACTGTTCCATGGTGTTTGGACTGAATTCAATCTACCACTGTTTCAAGCTCTCTCACTGGGGCCTGCGAGGGAGGCCGTGCGAGCATCTGGAGTGGGGACCTTGGTCCGAGTGAGCAGCTTCCCTCGGGAGCTGGCTCCCACACTTCACTCAGTTAAGCTTTGAACATGGGCAACACGGGTCTGGCTCAAGGAGAGTAGGGAGCGCTTTCCAGAAAGATCCATTCCTACTCAACCTGTGTTTCCCTGGTCGGTAAGGACCCGTCCATAGATTACTCACAAGGCTTTGTATTTGGCAGAGAGGCGGGGTGGGCTGGTGATAGCAGGAGACAGTTAGTTTATTGTAAAAGGATATTGCGGTGCAGGTGGAATGTCTCTGAGTAAAGGGTCCAGTTTTATTTTACAATCATTCTGATACAAGCCTTCATCTTCTTTGGGCCAAAGGAATGCCTTAGGTAGGCTTTTATAATTATTTAAATTCCATTTGCCCTTCCCAGAAAGATTTTATAGAACATGGTGCTTTTTATTCACTGTTAAAATCTTTTCTAGACTGAAGCAATTTTAGAGAAAAAGAGCCCGTCCCTTCACATTTTCTCAATCTTTGTTAATGTACACAGATGAGATGTGTTAACAAGACTGTAATCAATGGATATTTTGGATTATTCTTTTTCAATTGACATTATTCTATTTATACATTTCTAACTCCCATACACAGGCCATTTTAAATGGTTAGGTAATCTTCAATCACTGACGTGCTCTTAATTACTTAGTCACTCTCTTACTCTCTACTTACTGTCTAGCTTTAAAAAAACCCCAATTTATTTCAGAAGTGATTTAGGATATTTTCTTTGAGGTACAGGGAACGTTTGCTAGTTTATTGCAACACATTTCTTTCCAGACTGTGTGACAGAAAGATCAAACCAATTTATTGTGCGAATGTTGAATATGAGTACCATTCACCTACTGAGGCGAAGCATAAAACCACTGTGGGAACACCCATGCAGAATTAAGTGTCTACTACATCAAACACAGCCTAGATGCGTGCTCTGGGATCAGCAACCGCTGGTCTCCCTCCTCCTGTCCTTTGGCCAATAGTAATAAAAATTTATTAAGACTACTGAACACTTGATAGCATTTAGTTCCTGCAATATCTCTGTTCTACAGAGGAGGAAACTGAGGCTCAGAGGTCTGAGTTGCCCATGGTCCTGGAACTAGGAAACATCAGATCTGGGCATGTCTTTAGAGCCCGTGGTCTTAACTCTAAGCCAGGGGTCCTCAAACTACGGCCCGCGGGCCACATGCAAATACAAATATTGTATTTGTTCCCATTTTGTTTTTTTACTTCAAAATAAGATATGTGCAGTGTGCATAGGAATTTGTTCATAGTTTTTTTTTAAAACTATAGTCCGGCCCTCCAACGGTCTGAGGGACAGTGAATTGGCCCCCTGTTTAAAAAGTTTGAGGACCCCTGCTAAGCTCTACCACCGTGAAACGCCAGAAGGTGCTGCAGCGGATGGGAGCCACCTGGAAGAGCCTGCTGCCCCCTCCTGTGATCGGGCATTCCAGCAGGGCACCTTCTCCCCTAGGGAGAGGAAAGAAACAGGTGTTTGGGCAGCTTCTGGTACCAGTCAGCAACCCCATGCCACAGCCTGAGACTTCAAGCCCAAGGAGTTGGGGACGAGGACCAAAGAAACACAAAACCAAATCCTTTTACTTTTTCACACTTCCACCACAGGAGGTCCAGACCACGGCCTCAGCAGCTGGCTGTCCTACGACCATGCTTCCCCACAGGCACCTTACAATCCCTGTGTGACTCCAGGGCACAATCCCCGAGACTAGTTGAGCAGGTGCTTGGAGACCTCGATTCTCAGAATTCTAAACATCTCTGTTAAGCGCAGGGAACCCTGGTGTCTCCACAATTCTCTCCCCTTATTCTCTGCAGGTAAAATCCACCAGGTTCTCAGACCATTTTAGTAAAAATTCAGAGCCCTCTCCTCTCCCCGTGCTAATTCACTGAGATATTTTCATACAGTACCAACGTCCTGCATTGAAAACCTGAGCACAGACGCCTGGTGAATGAGCTGGCCCCCAGCACCCCTGTGGCGCCCTGTACCAGTTTTAGAAAGAACTTGTTGGGAATTTCCCCACATGGTTTTTAAGGGGCCAACCCCCTCCCAACACTTTGAGCACCAGAGTCCCTGGTGGCCCACCACGGGGTGCGAGCTCACCCGGGGCTTAGACTAGCACCGGAGTCTCCTTCAGCCTCCACCTCCGAGGGCAGGCACCTGGCAAATCATTAGCCAGGTTCTATTTTATCAATGAATTCCATCTGCGTTAGTAGCTGTAGTCAGGATGCTTTCCATAAAGGACAACTTGGAATTTTGAGGACCTCCTTCCCAAAGTAACTGCAGCTGGAGCGTGAGGGGCAGAGCACAGGCCTCAGCAAGGGGGACCGGGCAGGAAGCACTTGGTAAGGCAGGTATTTCCCCAATTTACAGCTACGGAAACTGAGGCCAACTGCCTTCGAGAGACTTGCCCGAAGCCACAAGGCTGTTAAGTGGAGGAGCAGGGGCCAGAGCCTGAGCTTGTGGTCTCACTTGCCACAACTGTAGTGAGGCACTAAATATAGTGCCACGGTGGTCAGCAGAGGGTTATGGAATCGGCCTTCCGCAGCAGGGGAGGAAATGAAGACACAGGGAGGTCACGTGGCTGTGCGGGCCCTGAGTGGCAGGCGGAGCATGCCAAGCAGTGTGTGTGCCAGGAGCGCTTGTGAGTTGGAGTGAGTGCCTCTTTAAAAGACACCAGGGCCTGTGTGGCTGCGGGTGTGTGTGGGGGGAGGGCCTTTCCTTACAGCATGGTGCCTGTCGCCAATTAGCTTCTACTGGGTCTTCCTTCCTCTCTCACGCCCACCCACTGCCAGGCAGCAGGCACGGCCTGGGGCGCAGTGACAAATGCCAGTGTGGGCCCGTGGCTCACACGCTCAGACCTTACGTCCCCAGGCTCTGGGCTGGTTTCTGGGTGATGTGGTCACTCTGTGTGGTCAGGAAGAGAAGCAGCATTTCTTTCTTTTTTTTTTTAAATCCTCACCCAAGGGTGGGGGCGGGGAGGAAGGGGGAAGGAGAGAGAGAGAGAGAGAGAGAGAGAGAGAGTGAGAGAGAGAGAGAGAGAGAGAGATCAGTTGCTTCCTATAAGCGCCCTGATGAGGATCAAACCCACAACCTAGGTACGTGCCCTGACCGGGAATTGAACCCGAGAGATTTTGGTGAATGGGATGATACTCCAACCAACTGAGCCCTAACAGCCAGTGTCAGAAGCAGCATTTCTTGAGTGCCTACTACGTGCCAGCTCATGCCATCTATCCAACAAACCCCACAAGTGGGTACTGTTAGGTCCTTGGTATAGACAGGACATTAAAGCTCAGAAAGGTTATGAAAAAAGGCAAGGTCACGCAGACCTCAGCAGCCGGGAGGAGAGCCCTGGCCTGCCTGGCCCTGGAGCCGGTGCCCTCTCCACCGTGCCACACTGCGCGATGCTCTCTTCCCTCTGCACTTCAGCAGCACAACCTCTAAGGTGATGCCTGACAAAGCATCCCCATTTTCAGAGCTGGCCCAGAACACAACTTGGAAGTTCAAGAACGTGGTATCCTCCTTATCTCTCCCCCTTGGTAGCAGCTTCTACCTCACACCTACTCTTCTATTGGTTATTTATACTAGGACACCAATTTGGGGCACCAATGACCACTGGGTAGGGTTTGGGGAGTCCCAGGTAGGATTTCCAGGGCCCCGAAATATTGCCATCAGCCCCTAAGGATGACCTCACTAGACATCTACCCGCGCTCAAAGGAAAACAAACCAACCACACAGCACACACAGACGTATGGGGCAACAAGCCCATGTCCACACTGCTGGGGGCACTTTCAAGGAATGGCAGGCCTCTGGAGAGCAACCCGGTGACTATAAACAGGAACTAAAACACACTTCCAGCCTTTGATTGGGCGATTTGGTTATTTTAGTCTGGAAAATAGACCTCAAGGAAATATCGCCGCCTTCACCCCCCCCCCCCCCGAATGTTCAAAGATATTTTCAGCAGCACCTGTTTACAATAGTAAAACACACCCAAATCAACCCACACGACGTTAAATAAATGACTGAAAGTGACAGGTATGAGGGTTATCTCAAATTTAAGGAAATGCCAAGGGCAGGTGTCTTGCTCAGTTTTTTATCCCTGGCATTTAGCCCGGCGTCTCACTGTGTTCACTGCTGAAGAAATGAGTGTTGTGAGGATTGATAACACATGGAAGGTGGCTACCATGGTGCCAACTCACAGTAGACACTTCATGTAAGCTCCCCTCATACATGAAAACCCAAATCCACAAGAAAGCTAAAAACAGCACAAAAACCATTACTTTATAAAAACATCAAACATTTAAGACATGCATTACATATATTAATATATAATGTATTTAGATGAAAAAAAGCGAAGGCTATAGGATGAACTGCTTAACAGGCTTTGTTTTTGTTAAAGCTTTTTAAGTCCATCCGATAAAAAGATTTCAAACAAACAAACAACAACAAAAACACTAACGTATGCTTAACCAGAGGTCAAAGCGCAGAAAACAAGGGCAAGTACAAAGGTAGGAGAGAGAGAAAACATGTGTCCAAGTCAAATCTCATTCATTCACTCATTTCCTTGGCACGTGCCATGTGCCAGGCGCCGAGCTATAACGTGGTGACAAGATAGACACTGTCATTGCAGAGGGTCCCCCCAGGGCAGGGAGACACTCCCCAGATTCTGGGCTGGCCACCACTTCCTCATCCTGAGTGGCAGAGAACAGGCTCCCTCCCTGCAGGAGGCAAGCTGCTGCCTGAAGGATCTGAGGCCAGGGAACAGCCCTCCTGATCTCTGGGACTCTGCAACCCTGTTCCCATTAGGCCTTGTATGGCCCCAGCTGTTCCCATGTGTCTGGAGCCACATGGAGTGGAGGGGTTGACAAGGAGTTCCACTGGATGGAACTTCTCCATCGGAGTGACCGCCCATCACAACTGCCCAACACACCCAAGTCACAGGCATTTAAACATAGGAACCATCACAACTTGGGCGAAAAGTCGTGACTTCCAGTTTTAGGACGCGCTGCTGAATTCTACCTGAAGATGGCACAGCTGACATCATCCCGGCCCCAGGGGCACCAAAGGGACAGGTGTAGCAGCAACTGCAGTTTCACGAAGCTGGAGGCACAGTCCGAGGGATCTTTGGGGAGAAGATACGTGAACGGGGATTCCCAATGTCGAAAATACCTCAACAGCTAGACGGACTCTTCCCAATACTGTCGTGAGGCAAGCAACATCAGTGGCCTTCACCCAGGAGCCTGGGTTAAGAGCATCAAAAAGCCCTGTCCCTGGCACAGGCATGTCCTGCCACACCTCAAGGAAGGGAGGGCGGATCCTGAGGCACGAGGCCGAGGACGCACCCAGGCCTCACTTACACCTCAGGGCTGCCTGGTTCAGCAGAGCGCTCCTCACCCCTGGGACAGCAGGGCCAGGACCCCCAAATCTGTATTTTTTACAAAGGTCCTGAGGAGATTCTCAGGCTCTGCACCAGCTTTGTGAGTCACTGGCGATATGGACCAAACACTTCTGTCTCTGGAATCAGAAAGATCTGGGCTCAACTCCCAGCTTTGTCACTCATTAGCTCTGTGACTTGGGCAAATAACTTAACCCCATGAGCCCCAGTTTCCTATCTACCCAAATGGCAACAATAATGCCTAGATCACAGGGTTACGAGGGGGAAGGTGCCTTGACAGCACACCGAGGGCCCCATCTCAGCGCATCTCACCTCTGACCGGCGGGTCAGTGGGCTAGCACCCTGCCACTGAGCCCTCCTCGAGGGCAGGTGTCTGGCTCAGCCTCTTTTCCTGGCATTTAGCCCAGGGTCTCGCGCGTATAGATGCTCAGTATGTTCACTGTTGAAGAAATGAGTGTTGTGAGAATTGGTGACACATGGACAGTGGCTACCATGGTGCCAACTCACATAAGTTCCCCTGATACATGAAAATGTACATTAAAACAAAACACAAGAAGTAGCTCTCCTAAGTGGGTGGTTCTCGGCCTTCTCCCTCCCCTGCATTAAAACTAGTCCATTTACAAGAATCCTCCTGGAGCACACTGTCTAAGACACACAGTAGGAGCAAGGAGAGGCCACTGTGTATTGGCCTCCAGGTGCCAACGTGCAGGACCATCATCTCCCACAATGGAAGGAGCAAAATCTCAACTCACTGCTAAGCTCACAGCGTTCCCCAGAACCGCTCACCCGCAGGCTGCCGTGGTCCCACAGCAGCCACTAATAACGGAACCATTTCTGTTCTCCTTGGAGAGGCAGTTGGCAGTGGCAAACAGGAAGTTGTCTTGCAATAGGGTGTGGCTGTGCCCTGTCAATATATGCCAACAGAGACACACTTCCCCCCTCCCCCCGCCCCTCTCCAGCCTCCTCCTGTCTCCTTCTGCCCTCTTCTTTAGGAGCAGAAGGTCTGAATTATTTGGGTGAAAACAAAGCTTTTTACATGACTTAAGAGCAACTATCACCACCATGCAAACAAAAAATCTAGGGCAGAAAGGAGTCTGAAATATAGCAAGGGTCTGTTTTCCTACCAGTCACTCACTGTGGCATTGGGTTAGTAACTAGCTGCGTGCGTGAGCGTGTGTGAGCCTTTCCCCTTAACTTCTCCGTGGGCACGCAGGAAACTCAACCCGAGCTAGAAGCCAGGCCAGGTACACTGCCAATCACCCTGCTGAGCCAACCGGTCCGTCTGCGGGCCGGCCACCACGGTTTACGCAGGGCCCACTGTGTGCACACGCGGGGCCCAGCACCATCCAGGAATAGGACAGAAGAAAAAAGACAGGTCACTCGTTTCAAGCAATTTTAAAGTTTGAGTAAAGGAGACCCGCAACATTTCCTAACACAAACCACAGATACAAATGACAAAGAAAAATAACTGCCAAAGAGATAAATGCCTATTGCTGGAGCTGCACGTAAAGGCAGGGAAGTGGGGGGGACACGTTGGTGAGGTTCACTACCGCTGGCTTCCCGGGGCTAGGACAGGTGAGCTATAAAATTTTCCACTCCGTTCCTGCCCAGGCCCCGAGGCGTGTGCCTCCAGAAGGGCTGGCTGTCCAAAATAGACTGGTCCCCAACCCAGCCTCCTACTCCTGACCTCTTTCTGAGGCAGCAGATCTCCCCACTCCACGCCTCACCAGCCCACAGCCCGGGGCACCGGCTCTGCTAAAGCTCAGGCTCGCTAACTGGGTCCTGGGCTGACAGCACGCCCCGCCTGCCAGGCTCTCTATCCAGTGACCTGGGCCCAGCCCCACGCGTCCTCTGTGGCCAACGTGCCCTGTGCTCGCACTTACACATCCCGGGGAGGCAGCCTTGCCGTTAGGATAAGGAGGCTGAGCTTGTGACACGCTGGGCAATGCGACTTGTGGGAGACGTTTCCTGGCTTCTGGCGGAGGGCCCTGGCCAGTCAGAACGCACCACTTCCCCTTTAAGAGAGCACGCCCAGATGCGATTAGGGAAAGGCAGAAAGAAAAGCCCGGAACAGTCAGGGTTGTATCCTGAATTTGGCAGATGAACTTGGGGTTTCCTGAACTGCACACACAAGGTGTGGCCAGAGGCAGCGGGCTCCTCTGAGGCCGATGGCTGATCTGAACAGTCCCCGCTGGGGAAGGGCCGGGCCTTCCTACAGCCCCACAGTGTGACGGCCACGTGCGTGCCGCTGGGCCAGCTCCTGGAGCTGCAGTCCCGCCCCACCGGGTGCCCCGCAGCCTGCAGAGCCTCGGGGCTTTCCTCTCCCCTTCCCTCAGGGCCTGCGGAGTCCCCAGCAATGCCTAGCGCTCTGCTTCCGAGAGAGTAGAGACATCATTATAAAGATGGAAAAATACTTTTGTGGGGCATTTAAGCTTTTAATTCATGCAGGGAGTTTTCATTGTTGTGGGGCATTTAAGCTATTCATTCATGCAGGGAATTATCATTCATTCTGGATATTTCAAAAGTTTATGCCCTGATCCTGGCAAAGGACAGTATATTGCGGGGGAGTCGGGGTGGGGGTGGGTGTTTCAAAACAACAACAATAGTTCACAAAAGGTCACGTGTTGTACAATTCCGCCCACATGAAATATCCAGAATGGTAAATCCATAGAGACAGCAAGCAGATTAGTGATTGTCAGGGGCTGAACTATGTAGAGGTGACGGTTGCACAACGTTATGAATGGACGCCGTGCCACTGAATTGCATGCTTTAAAATGATTAATTTTGTTATGTAAATTTCAACTCATTAAAAAAAACACACCCTAGTGGTAGAGTATGTTTTGGGCAATTTTATCTTCTACTAGGATCTCTCCTGCGTTCCAGCCAATATTTCTTTGTAAAATCTGGCTATTACCTGATAAATCTTTAGTTGACTCTAAGGAGTATATGCCTTTTTTTTTTGGTTTCGTTTTGTTAATCCTCACCCAAGAATATTTTTTGCATTGATTTTTTTTTTAGAGAGAGTGGAAAGGAGTGTGTATCTGGGGGGACAGCATCGATGTCAGAGAGACAAATGGACTGGCTGCTTCCCGCATGCACCTTGACTGGTATCAGGGTCCGAACCTACAACCCAGATACGTGCCCTTGACCAGGAATCGAACCTGCGACCCTTCGGTGTGTGGGCCGTCTCTCTAACCACTGAGTACACCAGCCAGGGCTGAGTATATGCCTTTTAATAAGGAAAAATAAAAACAAACCGTTAAGAGATAAGAGTTTCCAAGACCCAAAAGTCTGGCTCTTAAGGGGCATTTCTTACTTTGGGGAGGTAGCATCATTTGGAACCATGCCACACAAGCTAGGCAGTGCCAACGTCTCGTTGTGAAGCTGGCTCAGGTTGGAACCAACCTGTCAGCAGCTGGACATGGTAACCAAAGCCAGAGGGAGGGAGTTTCTCATGGGAGAATTATTCAGGAGGCCACGACATTGAGTCTCTAGGTTCTTGGCTTCTTCCTCTTTCCCTCTTGTAGAGGGTTTTTTCCCTAGAATGAAGAATTCATTTGTTTTTGACTGATTTTGCGGGGGCTGTGCTGGTTGGCATAGCAGAAGTGGTTGGTACAATTCCATTTCTTTGGAATGGAGTCAGTGAGAAGGAGGGGGCAGTGACCTGAGCACCCACCTGACCTGGCCCCACTGGAAGGAGCGTCTAGCCCTCCTTTCTCGGTCCTTTGCAGCTTTACCTGAGGGTCAGGCTGTGAGCCTTGTCCTCCAGACCCTAGGCCAGCAGGTCAAGAGCTCATGGGCACATTTCCCCACCTCAGAGTCAAGAGGAGGCCTGCTGGATGTTGCAATACTTAGAAAAAACACAGGTGAAAGGGCAGGCCCCGTGGCCCAGGAGCCTGAGTCTTTCCAGAGAAATGTAAATAGTTTTCCTAGAATCTGTCTTCTGAGCTCCAGGATGACCTGGAGGACAGAGTTGCACAGCTGTGGGCCGGCTCTCCCAGAGGCCGTGGGTCCTTCTGGAGCACGCTGCCCTGCCTCTTTCACCCGCTCTCTCTCCTCATCGCAGGTGCCGAGGCAATGAGTAGGTGGCCTAAGTTCTCAGCAAACAGGTGGCTTAAGCTAAAAAGACGCAATATTTACACTGCTCTAGCATCTGAAGAGCAGGAAGTTCAGAACCTTAATCCTAAATACAGAAACGGGCAGGCTCACCCCAATCAAAAAAATGGGCAAAGGACTTCAACAGGTATTTCTCCAGAGAAGATATGCATACAGCCAACAAGCATATGAAAAGATGATCAACATTTTTAGCCATTAGGGAGATGCAAATCAAAATCACAATCAGATACCTACCACTTTATACCTACTAGGATGGCTACATCGCAAAACAAAACAAAATGAAACAAAATGAAACGGAAATTGGAACCTTTGGGCACTGTCGGGGTTCCTCAAAATACTAAACATAGGATTACCAGATGATCCAACAATTCTACTATGAGATATAGACCCCAAAGAACGGAAAGCAGGTACTCAAACAAATCCTTGTACATGAAGGTTCATAAAAGCACCATTTGCAATAGTTAAAAGATGGAAACAACCCAAATATCCAATGGATGAATGGATAAACAAATTGTGGTATATACACACATTGGAATATTATTCAGCCATAAAAAGGAATGTAGTGCTAACACATGCTATAACTGGAAGAATCTAGAAAACACCAGGCAAATGACAAGCCAGAAAAAGGGTCACGTATTGTATTAATTATTCATATGATTGTCCAGAATAGGTAAATCCACTGAGATTGAAAGCAGATTGGTGGTTGCCAGGGACTGAGGGAAGGCGGAAGGGGAAATAACTGCTTAATGGATATGAAGTTTTATTTAAAGAGATGAAACATTTGGAACTAGATAGAATTAGTGGTTGCACAACATTGTGAATGTACTCAATGCCACTGAATTGTTCGCTTTAAAACTGTTAATTTTATGTTCAGTGGATTTCACCTCAATAATAATAATAAAAAAAAAGCCGTGCAGAACACAAGGGCCAGGACAATCCACAAACAGAACAGTCAGTTTCAGGGTGACTGAAAATTACCTTCAAGGCCCTTCTTGGAATCACTTAAAGGAGGTAATTTTTAAGTTAAGGTAATGAAGGTGGCCAGCAGGACAGGGCAGGCAGGGACTCCAACACAACAGTTCTTTTTTTTTTAATTGAGGAGAGACAGAGAGAGAACAGAAGACAGAAACATTGATTGGAATGCTCAACCTGGTTATGTGCTCTGACCGGGCACTGAACCCG